GCACAAATTTTTCCTATCACTGGTTATATACAAAGTATATTCACACCAATTCATGTCTTCATGCATGTACTTTGGATAATGATTTTGTAATTTTGAAAAACATGGACATTCTCATACGTAACTAAGTCTAAATCTAGATCATGTGCACATTTAGTTGTTGTGTTCTCTGTTACTCTTTAGCCTGTTCTTAAAATCTTTCATGATAAATATTTTGTGAAGAAATACTTAGAGGGTCTGGGGTTGTAGCTCAGTGCTGGAGCGCTTGCTTAGCATCGGTGAGGCACTGGGTTTGATCCTTGGCACATATTAAAACAACAACAGCAAAAAATAAAGGTTAAATTCTTTAAAAAAAATAAATAAGAAGAAGAAAGAAATACTTAGAGGTTGTATAAATATAGCCTTTCTCATCAAAATTTTACTCACTATTAATACATATACCCCATATGACTCAGAAATATTATTCCTGCGTATTTAGCTAAGGCTATCAAACCTTCATGTTCAGCCAGGTGCAGTGGTGTGTATTTGTAATCTCTGCTACTCGGGAGGCTGAGGCAGGAGGATCACTTGAGATAAGAAGTTGAAGAGCAGCTTGAGTAATACAATAAGACCCCATTTTGAAAGAACAAAAAATAATAAGCTTTTTGTTCATAGGCTGGGAGTGTAACTCAGTGGTAGAGTGCTTGCCTAGTGCATGCAAGGCCCTGGGTTCCAGCCCTAGCACTGCTAAATAAATAAATAAAACAAAAACTTAGTTTTCACAAAACTACATACATATTTACAGTGTCTTTGTTCGTAATTAGTAAAAACTATAGGGCATTTATCCTTCAGCTGCTGAATAAATTGTTACATTCATCCATCTAATAGAAAGCTACTCAGGGATTAAAGGAGTGAAGCATGTAATAGTGTGAATGAATCTCTAAGCATTATGCCAAGTGAAAGAAGCCAGACTGAAATCACTTTCTGCTATATTATTTCATTTATATGGTATTATTAAAATTGCAGAGGATCAGAAACCAGATCAGTGGTTGCTGGGAATTAGAGATGGCGGGAGGAATGAGTTAGAAAGAGCCCGCATAGGTTTTTATTTGGGTGATAGAACAATTCTGTATTTTGGTTGTGGTCATTCTATGACTATGTAATTTACTAAACTCAGAATTATATGCCAAAAAGTGAATTTTTTAAAGAGAATAAAAAAATTTAGCTTATATTATTTGGATCCATTTGCTTTAGTCATTGCTTGAATTCAATGTCTCTGTGATGGTTGCCAATTGGTAATTTTCTAGTTCTATTTTTCCTTTTACATTTATTAGTTGGCATGCTACTGTAAGATAAAATATCCCCTTTCTCCACACATTTATTTATTTATATCAGTAAACACTTATGGATCCTAATTTTATCCAGTGAATCATAACTCAGTACTATTATGACTTTGTTGCTCAATTTGTCCAAGATTTGGCCAGAGGCAGCCTGTTTGAGCTGATTTATATCAGTGTCATTCTTTGAGCACTTCCATTACTTTCTACTTTCCTTGCACTACCCTTGACATCAGCCATGTCTCTAAGAAACCTTAGTCCTTTTTAACAGAGAATGGCATTTAGAAACCAAAATCTGGGGGCTAGGTATACATCTTGCCCCTGGAATGTTACTGCTTTTATACCCTTTCAGTGTATGGATGGAGCTACAAAATTTGTATATGTATATATGGACACATAGACACATCTATTTCTATATCTATTTGTCCATGTTTGTTATAAACCATGAGTCATTCTAATACCTCTAATTCAATTTCAACAGTACATGATTTATTCTGTCCTCTGCCTTTCCATATTTGTACCTGCCTTCCCTGATTGTGAAAAACTTGGCTACCATCTTCTTCAAAATATTTACTTAACTCAGTCCCTTTGTATAAAACTAATCACTTGACGCTGTGGGCTGTCTCATAAACTACATGGCCACTAACTCAACCTTCTCAGAGTTCTTCCATTCTGGACTATCTTGCTTTGACTATACCAGCCCATGCCAGCCAAGAGTCTTTCCAACTCTGGTCTCAGCATCTTGCCATCCCTTGCTGGCTCTTTATTCCCAGCGTTCAGACAATTCATACAGGCTACCTCCTGCCAGCTACAAGTTAGTTCCTCATTGGTACCTGTATCACACTGATTCCCACCAGTTGATACTTTAGTTGACCAAATCATTCTTAAAATTTTCTTTGAATGTTTATTCCATGAAAAAAATAGGGTGCTTATATCCTTAAAATTTTTAAAGCACAAAAGAGTAGAAAGGTGATAATGAAGTTTCTATGAAGTCGTCCCAACCACTTGATTGCCTTCCCTATAGGTAACTGCTTCTTCCAGTTTCTTCTGTATCCTTCTAAAGATTTTATACATATGTTAATATAAACAAATATTACTATTTTAAAATTCATTATAAATATTTTATTAAATATTATTGCATCATTATATATTATTATAATATTATGTATTAAATTATTATCATTAATTTATTATTGTATATTAAATTATTATATTATTATATATTAAAATTACTAAATATCTTATTCTTTCAAATTGACAGCATATTCAGCTGCATTATGTACCATTCATTAAATCTCTTAATGAATGCTTATGGTGTTTTCAGCCTTTTCCTGTGTTTAGGAGCCATTTGTAATTCCCATCTTGACAGCTGTCTATCCATACACTTTGTCCATTATTTTGATTGCCAACTTTCTTATTGATTTGTGGAAGCTCTTTTATGTGTTAGTGAAATGATCCTCTGTGACGCACTTCAATCTAATGTATGAAATATGATATATCAAGAGCTTTGTAATGTTGTGAACAACCAATAAAAAAAAAAAGTTAAAAAAAAAGAAAGAAATGATCCTCTGTGAAATAAAATGCAACAGTTTTCCTGGTTTATCATGTAACTTTTGGTCTTTGTTTATGATAGGTTTTTCCTTATAAAGATATTCTTTTTTTTTTTTAAAGAGAGAGAGAGAGAATTTTTTAATATTTATTTTTTAGTTTTCGGCGGACACAACATTTTTGTTTGTATATGGTGCTGAGGATCAAACCCGGGCTGCACGCATGCCAGGCGAGCCCACTACCACTTGAGCCACGTTCCCAGCCCATAAAGATATTCTTCCTTTTTTTGTTTCTTATGAGTTTTTATAACATAGTTTAAAAGATTCTTTATTTTGGATTTATTTTACAAATTCTCTCCTGATTTCTTCTAATACTCAATGTGGTTTCATATTTTTACATTGGCATTACTTAAGAATTGCCATAGAGGGTTGGGGTGTGGCTCAGTGTAGAGTACTTCCTTACTATGTACAAGGACCTGGGTTCAGTCCCTAGCATTAAAAGAGAATTATAATAGAAAAGAACCTCCAGAAAACAATAGTTTCCCATGATTAAAAATATCACATTATCTAAAATTCTTAACATTCATAACCTCTAGGGCCTTCAGATTGTTATAGTGTAATCCCTGATTTTTTTAAATCAATATGCATTTTAACAAGATCTGATCATGTGTTTGCACATTAAAATTTGAGAAACTGCTCCAGGACAGGGGTCTGCAGTTTTTTTTCTGTGAAAGACCAGGCAGCAAATATTTTGTTTTGTAGGCCATCTGGTGTCTGTTGCAGCTATTCAGCTCCTTTAGTAGTGTGAAAGCACCACAGACTGTATTTAAACAAATGGACAAAGTAGCATTTTAATATAAGGTCTTTTACAATCATTCCTGCTCTCAGGAAGTAGAATTGAGGGATAAAGTGATCAGGGAACTTTTTTTATTTTATACCCTTCTGTACTATGTGAAGTTTTTAACCATGAACATGTGGTTAAAAATCTAGAGTTCAAAGAAAAATTTTAAGGTATAATTTTAGATTAATGGTTGTAAATATCAGAGAAATCCATTCAAAGGCCTCTAGTTTTAGTTGGGCTGCTTGATAGTGTTTAATTTTATTTTTCCACCTCAAACTTTTCACAGAAAAAGAATAAGTATATGGGCTGGGGTTGTGGCACAGAGGCAGCCCACTTATCTACCATGTGTGAGGCTCTGGATTCGAGCCTCAGCATCACTTAAAAATAAAATAAAGATATTGTGTTCACTAAAATTTTTTAAAAAAAAAAAAACAGGAAAAAAATAAGTATAATATAAGGAAATGCAAACACATGATTAAGTTTGTGGAAGACTGAAGAGGAGAAAAAGATGAAGTTGAAACTTGAGAGATACCCACTCCTTTCCCCCAAATGTTTTACTGATATGCTAAAATAAAAATTCCTTCAAATAAATTCAATAGAGCATACATATACCTCATATTCTCCCAGGACTGTAAATTTACTGTTGAGCTTATGATTGGTACTTGGTAGATTTTTATTAAATGGATTACATGCTGGAGCAGGTTCTCCATGGAGTATTAAATATTCTTTGAGCTGCTTGAACACCATTTATAGCTTAAAATTGGCCATGGTGAGTGAATTTATACCATGGAGATTAGAAATCAGCAAGTGCTATGAATTGGATGTTTGCTTTGTTAGAGAGCTGGATTATTAGCACATGTTGAATGTTCCTCTTTATTGTTATTGATAGTAGTATCTTGGAAGCTGGAATGAGGCTCAGTGGTAGAGCGCTTCTTGCCTGTCATGTGTGAGGCCCTAGGTTCCATCCTTAGCATTAGGGGGAAAAGTGGTGATCTGTCTTTAAGACCGTTCCTATTCTCTGAACAGATTTTTTTGGTTCAATAGTATTTATAGTGTGTATCAGATACTGTTGTGAGGCAAAGAAGAGAGAAAACCAGTCCTCTTCTCCAAAAGTTTAACTCAATTGTAAATCTGCTGGTGTTGTTAACTTTAGTATCTTTGATTTTTTTGTGATAAAATTTAGAACAAGATGAACTATGAAATTGACAAAGTTTTAGTATCAGGGATATTTTTGCTATATGTCCATTAATTTGTGTATGGCCTGATTCTCATCTTTATTCTGCCCTCCACCTTTTAAAGGAAAGCCTGAAGTAGCCTGTGAAAACCCACATTGTACTGTAGTACCTTTGAAGCAGCCTACTCTACACATTTCAGACAAAGATCCAATCCCCGAGGAGCAGGTAAGAAGGAAAATTACCCTTTATTACTTCCAAAGAGTTTCACAAAGTTTGCCTGCCTTTCTTCCTTCCTTCCTTCCTTCCTTCCTTCCTTTCTTTCTTTTTCTTTCTTTTTTTAATATATTTTAGTTATAAATAGACATAATATCTTTATTATTTATTTTTATGTGGTACTGAGGATTGAACCCTGGGCCTCACACATGTGAGGCAAGTGCCTCACCACTAAGCTACAACTCCATCCCATTATCCTTTCTTTTAAGTGACATAATTGTCAAATAGCTGATTGCATTTCTGTTTCTAATGAATTTCAAGATCACAATGTAAATGATTGAATTTATAAAAGGCATTAGTTCTTAATCCCCTGGATTTGAATTCCTTGAAACCACCAGATTTCTTGTCCAAATGTCCACTTCATAGAGGCTTTTAAAGGGCTTAAACACAATAAAGATTAGTGTTTGACCAAAGTTGCCTTCTGGAATCCTGAAAACATTTTTATCTTGATTTGTGTGGTGGTTGCTAATATGCATACATGTGTAAAAATCTATACCTTGAGATTTGTGCACTTGACTTCATGGATGTTATACCACGCATTTTTAATGGTTGCATTAGTTAGTGCAAAGATTTCTCTTGTTCAGTCTAAGCAAAACTTCCTTCAGTCATGTTATCTTTCATATTCTTAATTATAAATGGAAACCAAATTAGCTAGTTTAACAGACAGATAATTTATTTAAAACCATTAACTAGCTTACAGAACATTTCAGAAGACTAGATAAACAGGCTTGAGCCAGGCTAGGGTTAACAGCCAAACTCATTCAAAAAGAACTGTTCCCATTGAAGACCTCATTGCTTAGCCCAGGGGCACTGACATTGCCTGATTTTCTTTCAATGCCAAATAGTAAATCCTACCCTCAGAACCATTCCCTCCCAGAACATGATCTGTTGACATCCTTGCCAGAATGGCCTTCTTCAGGTGCCTGCTTCTTTTGTCACAAACTTCTAATTCAGGTATATCTCTTTAGAGGATCCCATGTCATTTGCCTAAATCTTAACTGCAAGGAAAGCTGGGTGAGTAAATATTCTACCCTCTGGTCTTAGAGATGTGGAGAACAATAAAATGGGGTGATCCCTAATTCTAGCAAGAGTATTCAGACTTCCTGGGAAGTCAGAAAGAACCATAGATATTTCTCATAAGAACAACATTAACTGTCACATTGTCAGTCCTAGTTTTGATTGGTTTTTGCATAGCAAAAAAAAAAAAAAAAAAAACAAACATAATTTTAACCATATCTGTAGTATGGTTATAGGCATGGAAAAATAACCATGGGTGTTATTAAACCCTTTTTTAGAATCAACTGTTAAGCTTTTTGAATACTTCAATTAATCTATAGATCTTTTTAAAATTTTGTTCTTTTTTCCCCCTGTTTTTGTTCAACTATGCTTTAATGACCTATGCCAAAAGCAAGGTGTGTGTGTGTGTGTGTGTGTGTGTGTGTGTTGCTGGGGATTGAACCCAGGGCCTTGTGAATGTGAGGCAAGCACTTTACCAAATGAACTGTATCCCCCCAAGTCCTCATTATTTAACTCAAGAGATATGTAGCTACAAATACATAAATGCTGCTAGAAAACTGTCTGGAGTACAATGCTTTTTCTTTTTTTTTTAATATTTATTTTTTAGTTTTCGGCGGACACAACATCTTTGTTTGTGGTGCTGAGGATCGAACCCGGGCCGCACGCATGCCAGGCTAGCGTGCTACTGCTTGAGCCACATCTCCAGCTTTACAATGCTTTTTCTTTTATTCATTTTCAGGAATTAGAAGCTTATGTAGATGATATAGATATGGACAGTGATTTCAGAAAAGATGATTTTTATTACTTGTCTCAAGAAGACAAAGAGAGACAGAAGCGTGAGCAGGAAGAATCCAAGAGGGTACTGCAAGAATTAAAATCTGTGCTTGGATTTAAAGCTTCGGAGGCAGAAAGGCAGAAATGGAAGCAACTTCTCTTTAGCGATCATGGTAAGCACTGATTTCAGAGTAAAAGCTTATTTCAATGAAGGTGATTCTTTTTTTTCTTACACCATGAATCTTACTGTAACTAATTCTTATGGCTTAATTCTAGGTAACTACCAATAAACATAGTACTTTTTCTTCTAGAAGCAAATCAGTTTGATCAATAAAATAGGTATGTAAACATACTAGAAATATAAAATTAGACTTTTCTATCAGTTATTTAATTTTTTACTAAATTTTTTTTGAAATAGACATTACATTAAACAATTTGGAGTATTTTAAATAAAATGTTTTCAAATTTAGTGAATTGAAATTTGGAACTGTTTTCTGTATTAAAAATAACTTGTTGAAACACAAAATTAATAACTCTGTGTTTACTATTGAAAAGTATGTTAAGGCCTAGGCCAGTTAGAGTCACTTAAGTGACCTGAGTGTTTCAGCAGACAGGAGGGGAGGAAGTTTTCTATGTGTACTGTCTCCATACTCTAATTTGTTTACTAGGCTGAATGGGAATAAAACCAAAGGTTAGCTTAAGCTTCTTCACATTACTCACCCTTCTTTCCTTCAGTCATGCTTTAGAAGAGTCAGGGGAAGGAGTGAAGGGAGGCTTGATCGTTGGCAGTTTGATCATTCTGACTAATTGCTAGTTGTATTGATTCCTGTGATTTCCAACAAGCTAGAGTGGGACTTCCCTTCCATTTTGAAGTATCTTTATGGACCCTCAAAATCAATTGCCTGCCTCTCCCTTTCTCACTAGAAGTAGTATACAGATTGCCTGTACTTCTAGAATGCTCCTTAGGGTTTTCTCCTCTTCTGAGCCCTCCTTTTCTCCTGGTCCATGTCTACATATCATGCTTTTAACTTTTCTCTTCCTCACCATCAGCCCCCTTTATAGCTGAAGTCCTCACTAGATTATGCTTGTTCATTATAATAGTCTCTTAGCTAGTTGACTTCAATTTTCAGTACCTTTTTTCCTAAGCTATCTTACAAGCTCTTTCCAGATAATTCTCAAATGGCACATTGATAATTGCTTTATCTTAAAAGCTATAGTGGCTCCTTCTTACAGTAAGTATCAGCCTGTTCATCTTAAGAATCCATCATGTCCAAATATATTTCTCACAGTTTCTAGTGAAGATAATCTTCCTCAATTTATATTCAGCTAATTAGATATAATTCCACCAACTATTTTTATTCTTAAAGAAAATTTATGTCAAATCCTTTACCAAGAATTCTGTCTCTATAGAGCTGCCCTGTCTACTAGTCTCTCCTCTAAATTCTGATTGCTCTAGCCCTCCTACCTCTCCTAGCTCTGTGGAACCTCACACTAGAGAGGCATTGTAGTGAGAGGCAAAGAAAGACTTGAGCATCAAAGCATAGCAGAAAAGGGAAATGATTGAGGGCTTTCCAGAAGCAGAAGGAGAGTTTCTGTAATATGCTGGTTCATATGTCGGGCCTACCTAAATCAGAGATTAATGGCGTTATGTTTTAGTACTGTTACTTTCTATGTGTTCAAGTGTTTTGTTTTGTTTTTTGTCTCTGGAACTAAATTACAGTCTCCTTAAATAGGGACTTTATTATCCCTCACAGTATTCATTTAGCAAATTATTCATTCAACAAGTAGTTATTGAGTACCTATTATATGCGAGGCACTGTTTACTGCTGTACCCATAGCATATAAATCAGGAGACAGAAATGCATATCATCATCCCAGCTATTAGGAAGCCTTAGACAGGAGGATCACAAGTTCAAAGCCAGCCTGGGCAACTTAGTAAAATTCTGTCTCAGTAAATTTTGAAAGGCTGGAAAGGTAGCTCAGTGGTAATGCACTTGCCTGGCTGGTAATGCACTTGCCTAGCATGCATGAAGCCCTGGGTTCAATCTTCAGTACTACCAAAAAAAAAAGCCTATATTCTCACAAGCTTGTCAACTGATCCTCCCCTTGTTCTGATTATATCCCCCCATTCAATTAGCAATAATCATGAATATCAGTCAACTTCTAACATGTTACATTTGTTAAGAACTAGCATATTTATAAACTAAAAAATGTGCGAAACACTGAAAATAGCATTGTATGTAGGCTAGTATCTTTTATTATTGAGTATTTTCTTCTCACAGTTTTAAAATTACCTATTAACATTATGGGCAAATGAGAGAAATGGGTCTCATTTTCAGGTATGTGCTTTTGATGCAGTTTGCATTTGAAAAGGCAATAATGCTGTGTAGTTTTTTAAAATAAAACTGCTGATACCATAAAATGCTTTTCCCATGAAAAATTTCAGTACGTCTTCCAGAGTTGTTTTCATCTCTGCCTACAGGGGTAAAGTCCGAATGGAATTAGAGAGGGAAATTCTACACTGGAACCTGCCGTGGCCATTTTTTTCTGTTGTTGCTGCTTCTCTAGTGGAGTTACTGCAGCATAGGGATGTTTCTTGGAAATGGACACGTTTTACAAAAATATTTTCTAAACACACGCCAGATCTTCAAGAAGCACTTTTTTCCTTCCGTCATGCTTCATAATATATTGTATTGTACTAACCCCTCATGCTGGGAGGAGAGACTGCCTAGCAAGCAACCCACTGCCTACTAACATCAAGAGGGGCCTAAATAAAACTTCATTTTCCTTGCAAGGACAACTTCTACCGTATGGATATATGTTTATGTATTATACTTTGTTCCGTAGTTGATCTTGAATGCAAATTTCATTTTGTTTGTATTTTTCTGTGGCGCTTCAAAATGTGTAGAAGTGTGACTTTACTTCCATTAGGGTCTTCTTAGGTGGTTGGCAAGTAAGTTAAATTATATTTTTTTTCCATGCTGTTTTAACTTTTAAATATATATAGATGTTGAAGATGCACTTATTATCTGGGTCACGTTAGGCCTTTTATTGAACACATTTTCAGTGAAAACCACTCTGCTTATTCTTTAATAATAATGGTTCTCAAATTTTATTGTGCATCAGAATCAAGTGGAGCCTTGTAAAAAATAGCTGGTCCCCACTCCCACAGTTTCCAATTTAGTAGACTGAGATTGGGCCCAAGAATTTCTGCTTCTAACAGATTCCTAGGTGATGGCTGACCTTGTTGGTTCAGGGACCACACTTTGAGAACCACTGCTTTTGAATAAGATGATAGCTTAAAAAACTCTTCATCAAATCTCCATCTCATTCCATTTCTTAGACATTTTATTTCTTATAAAGTTACCTAAACTTATAAATTTTTATTGCTTTTACTAGAAAGTTTTAATAAATTTTATTTATTTATTGTTCTTTTAAAGAAAAAAGTTACTGGGAGTTTAAATTAAAGTTTAAATCATTTGCAGGGTTCTTAGTTATTATTTTTCTTTTTTCTTTCCTTTTCTCTCTCTCTCTCTCTCTTTTTTTTTTTTCCTTTGAAGCTGTGTTGAAATCCTTGTCTCCTGTAGACCCAGTGGAACCCATAAGTAATTCAGAACCATCAGTGAATTCAGATATGGGAAAAGTCAGTAAAAATGATACTGAAGAGGAAAATAGTAGTAAGCCCTCCACAAATGACAATGAAATAAGTAGGACTGAGTATTTATGTGAGAATCAACAAGAGGATAAAAATAAAGACAATTCTGCAAATGAAGTCTTCCTCCAAGGGCCTGAAGAAGCAATGTGCTACCAGTGTGAGAGTGAGGACGAATCTCCACAGGCCGTTGGAGGTGGCCTGGCCACTGTCTCTCCAACTCCCAGGGACTCCTTGCAGCCCTCCATCAAGCAGAGGTTGGCACAGCTCCAGCTGTCACCAGAATTTACCTTCACTGCTGGCCTCGCAGCAGAAGTGGCTGCTAGGTCTCTCTCCTTCACCACCATGCAGGAACAGACTTTTGGCGATGAGGAGGAAGAACAAATAATAGAAGAAAATGAAAACGAGGTAGAGGAAAGTAAAAACCAAGATCAATGAAATGATTTTAGATTGTTCCTTTTACAAAAGTGTTTTAGCTTCAGGACTGGAAAGGGAAGATAAGTGTAAGTTTACTATCTATAAAGATGTGAATTTCTAGGAAGAAACCTGGTTTGAACAACTGTCTCAGATTAATAGTTACCTGTAAGTGGCAGATTTTTTAGGAAAATAAGAGAAAGGTAAGGGCTCTTTAAAATAAACTCCTGCTTTATTTGTGGCCCAACTGATAATCTTGGTAATTATTTAAGTACTTTTAATAAGAAATGAATTTATCATTTCTTGCCAGAATTTGCTACCATAAGGTGACTAGGTTAATTCTCTTGCAAGAACATTAACATTTAGTATGACTCCTTTTTACTGTATCTTTGCAGTTAGTAACTGCAGCTATTATGTTAATATCGAGTTGTTTGTATTTTATTTTTGTTTATACCAGTCTTTAAAAAAAAGATACAGGTTCTGAATAAAAAAAATTTAATTCATACAATTGATGTGTGCTGGGGTTTGGAACTTAAAAGTAGTTTCAAAAATAGTTGGGTTATGACATAATTCTTACTGTTCGTGTAAATATTCAGTAGTTAATTTTAAGATGTTCCTAATAGTCTTTAAAAGGAAAACATACCAGGTCAAGAAAAACCCTTTCAACTTTTTTCTTTTATTATTACTTTTTCCTTCCTTTGTTATTACTTTCCTTGTCAAAAGTGGGATCCCTATAGTAAAAAACCCTACCCCCAACTTAGTGTAACATTCTTTGTATCAGTTTGCCTCAAGATAATTGTGCACCATTACTGCAAGTAGGTCCAGTGCTGCAATTTTCTAGCCTGTGAGCCTGTGAGACTCAGAAACCTGTCAGCTTCCTGGAAAGAAACCTTGTCTTCCTAGTCTTCATTTGCAAGCTACCTCTTAGAAGATACTGCTTTCCAAAGTGGCCAATCTCATGTGTTGTGATTCCATTGTTGAAGACTGGTATTTTTTGGAGTATACTGTTTTTGAAACCTGTAACTCCTGTACCTGACATAGTTTATAGACACTATTTAAGGAAAATGTAAGAATAACTCAACTTACGCTGTTATACTACAGGGAAATTACATGATGAATCTAGATTATCTTTAGATAATCTAGAAACACATTTAAATTATGTCACTTAGCACTTACAGTGAGTAAATTTACTTATACTCAGAATTGTTTATTTTTTTAATAACTTTTTTTTTAATCCTGAGGAAAAACTTGGTTTAGCTTTATATGACTAGTAGACATCCTTTGTACCATAAGTGATTTTTGCCTTTTGCCAAAATTTTGGGACTTATCGTAATAAACCTCTTCAGAGTAATACCTTAGGTTGGACCTAGTTATACTAAATTTGAAGGAAAAAAGAATCTTCTTGTGTTGTTACTGACTTCTGTGTTCCTAAGTAATAATACCTATACTTTCTGGTTTAAATCACAAACTTAGTTGCCAACTCCATTTTTCCTAGGATTTAGGAAAAGCAATTACAGAAAAACTTGGTGATCTTTATTTTATTTTAACCTATAACCTTACAGAGAAAAAATCAGAGTTTAATAATTTTAATTCTTTTATTCTATTTTGTTTCTACTATCTTGATTTGGGAGAGAGATCTTCATAACATAGTATCAGTTTTATTCAGTGCTCTCTGAGGTGACGCTTCTTAATTCTGAAAGATTAGATAATTTGAATCAGAATTTTCCAGTCTTCCAATCTGATCTGTTTTATTCACTAGCCATTACATAGTTTCATGAAAACTCTACTTGTTGAAATCATGATCTAAAGATCTCGGAACATTAACCAAATATTAGGTGTTTTGTAAGTAGTTTTTCAAATTTTCTTTCATCTTATAAAATATTTTCAAGATAAAATATTATCTTCTTGAAAATTCCTTGACAAATTTTTTCCTGACAATGTTCTAAGTTGATGTTTCTCATTGTCGTTTTAGTGGGATACCTGCTTCAGAATAAACTAGAGGTCTTTTTTTTTTTTATAATGAGAATTTTAGGACATACTCTCTGTAATTCTTAGCTTGAAATGAGACATAGGTAATGTTCATGCCCAATAAAATGTAAGAATCCCTGTCTATCACTTAGTTCTTCCAATGAATACCTTAGGAAATATAAAAAACAGGCCAATATAATATAAATAGGTGTTCTTGTTTACCAATGTTATATAAATAGGTGTTCTTGTTTATTACTTTTTCTAAGAATATTCTACTTTCTCTTATCAGGTTGTTGATAGTTTTAATAGCTGCCATTCTACATCCAGAAGAAGCCTCTGGGAAAAAAACATTTTGTGGAAAACACTTATAACTGTACTTTGCAAATTTTACAGTATTTTTTGACAGTATAAATCGTGGTAGTGCTAGTATCCTGACAGCTCTTAATACAAATATCGCCATGGTTTATTTTATCAATTTACTCAAAGGAAGGATAGGAAAGTCATGACAGAAAGTGGTCTGGTACCAGTTATCATGCCTTAAATCCTTTTTCTCAGCTTTTATTAAAGCCCTACCTATCTGGCACATCTAGGGCCAGACTCTTGTTGGTCTGTGACTTGCAATCCTCTGCTTATTTTCACAAGTTCTTTGTGTTTTCTGATTTTATAGCTTACATTCCCATTAAAGCTAATGGTTCTCACAGCATATGAATATATTTCATTAGGAAACTGATACAATTCAAATCAGAATTCTTAAGTTACTGAAGACAAGCAAATTGAGAGAAACACACTTAAGGCAAATTAATAAGAAAGTTTTAAGAGGATAGGTTCATGCTTTCCTATAGAAGAATAGGCTGAGTTTAAATTCCATACCCTTCATTTAAAAGCTGTGGGTGAGGGCTGGGGTTGTGGCTCAGCTGTAGAGTGTTCGCCCACCAGGGGCAAGGCCCTGGGTTCAATCCTCAGCACCACATAAAATAAATAATAATTCAAAAATTAACTATATAAAAGCTGTGACCTAATAATGTTAGGGAGAGTCTTTCCAACAGAACTCAAATTCTCTGAATTTCTAAATGCTATTTGCACTTTCTTTTCAGAGAAGATAAAAGGAAATAAAATGTTTGAGACTGAAAAGCAAGATTGGTTATAAATATATTAGTAAAACAGGTCAAATGTTTTTAAACTCAGTTTTCTTAAAAAAGTAATAGTCTGACTCACATTTTAAAAATTATAAAACTTTTAATGTTAAAGTATAAAAATCAACTTCTGGTATATTTCAAAAGTTATAGGTTAATGGAGTATTAATCAGATAGGACCCTAGATTTTATTTCTCTCTGTTGACTATTTACATTTTACCAAATAATTAGAAATCCTTTGTCAAAAATCCTATGTGATTTGGTTTAATCACAGTATGTTGTTTCTGAACCCAAACAAAACCAGGATACAAGAACTAAATACCATAAGATGGTGATACATATAGCTAACCCATTGCTTGAGGTTAAGTAGATAGACGCTGTGAATGACAGACAGGGTATAAAGATTTATTTTTCCAGTTCCATTTATAGGAACATATCTGTGTAATTCATAACTTAGATTAGAAAACTAAACTGCAAATAATTTAGGAGAGAAAATATAGAAAATGCCTAAGTACTGTAACAATTTATTCAGCTGTCATCATTGACAGGTTATTAACTTGAATCAGTTAATTTTTAAAAAATTTTTTAGTTGTAGATGAACAGAATACTTATTTATTTTATGTGGTGCTAAGGATGGAACCCAGTGCCTCAAACATGCTAGGCAAGTGCTCTACCACTGAGCTACAGTCCCAGTTCCATTGAATCAGTTAAATTTTGAGGCAAATTCATTTAATCGCACCTCTCCATTTTTCTAAAGTATATAGAATGTAGTTTAACCTTTTCTTTTTCATCTTTAAGAATATCACCTCCTATCATGGGTGATTGACAAATTCACCCTCGGGGATGACAGGAATGATGTCGGGCCCCTTTACTGGCTAACTTCACATTGCTGTGCTTTTTTGAACACTGTTTGTTTTTCACAGTTTCTCTATCTTCCCTTATAATCAGCTGTGATTTTGTTGCTGTCTTGTGTGCCTGCCTTCTGCAATAGGCCCCTAATTTGCTGCTTCTAATCTGCTGTGGACTGAGAAACCAGATTGCCAAGCTTGCTAGAATTGTGTCTAAAATAAGAGTAAGTAGACTGCAACAAGGCTAAGGGCTCTTCTATCAGTAAAGTGCATGGACTTTGTGATAACCTGTTTGGGTTCTTAGCATTCATCTGTTTGCCTCTTACTAAGGACTTGCTAAAACTGCTTGGTTGAATATGTGATTGCCATATATTTGAAGTATTAATTCTGTTTTAATATATTGATGTTTCTAGGATTCCCTATTAATGAATTCAATGCTAAAAGAAAAATTTGACTACCATATTTGTATAAATCATTGTGTATATGTCAGGAAAATGTTAGATATTTTGTTTTTGTTAATCGTTCTTAGTTGAGTACACAGATTTGAAATTTATGGCATGATTAACATGACTTCAGCTCTGTCCACCAAAACTTATATTCTCGAACTATTGGTCTGAGACAAAACATGACTAATTTAGTAAGAACTGGCTGACTTGACTATTTGGGGAATGAGTCATTCTTGATATCCCAGTTTTCTATTAAGCTTAAACTTCTTTCAGCATTAAATTTTTGGAATAATTTCTGAAGGCAATCTTTATAAAAACTATTGCTGTCTTCTTAAACAATATATGAAATATACTTTAAGCTTTTATATTAAAATTATCATTTTGAACATTAGTTATTATACTTGGATAGACTAAACTCTGAGAATTATTTGTCCTGTACTAAATGACTCCATTCTGCAGCACTTGTTTCAGTTTTCATGTCTTTGTTTTCAGTGGATGTTCTGATTCCTCCATTTATATTACTGCTTGCTTAAGTGTGATTGTAGCAATGTACTTTATTCACCTTCGTAATGCATCTTCTGATCTGCTTGGGTTTTGGGGGACCAGATGACTAAGATAGTTAGAACTAAGTACTAACTAAAGTAAGAGTAAATGGACCTACAGTGAAGACATGAAGAAGTGGATTGTGCTTCCCTGCATGGATGTTTGTGACATCTGTGACTCCCCACCTATTAGGTTGCTGTCCTTAGTTCGTGAGGTTACCATATTAGATACCTACTCTCAAAATACAAATTGTTATTTTACAAAAGGAGCCACTTTGTTTCCATACTTTACTGTCTGTTAGGATAGTTCTATGTTACAATTCTTTGGCTCTGATTAAAACCAGGTCATTTGAATTAGCATTTTCAATCGTATTTTCTCTTTGAATTGGATGCCACGTGCTTTTTTTTTTTCCCAAGAGAATAAGATCTAGGCAATTATACCACAAAGTATTTATTCTTTGATAGGCTACTTTTTCAAACAGTATCTTTATTTTTTTTTTTACTGTTGAATTGCTTTATTAAATTATCTGGGAGGTATATTTTTTTCTTACGTATACAGGACTGAGGTGCA